AGTTGCCTAAAAGCAAAAAAAAAAAAAAAAGAAAAAAGAACATATGGTTTGACTGCCTTCGGTCATGGTAGTAATGGGAGGTGGGGGAAGAGGAGAGAGAAATACATTGCATAATCCAACCAGGTATGATTTTCTACAGAAATAGAACTCTATGTTGAAATAACCTCATGAATGAAATTAACTTACTCTCTAAATGATAAACAGCACAGGTAGATGACATCTATTTCACTATGCATTTATTATCTGTTAATAATTGACTTGCATTTACCTTCTTAGGTGTAGTATCTTTCACTTGCATAAAGTTCATCACAGCTGGCCACTTCTAGATCTTACCTGTTCTTTTGTCATTTTAAAGTAGCCTCAATATGAAATTTACTGCTGGGTAAGTCCATTTAGTCAGATTGATCCTAACTAGTACCAGAAAGGGGATCTGGGCCTTTCACTGAAGTTTACGCTTTAAAAAGGCACAAAATGCCCTTAATTTTATTTTGCTATTTCACTTCATGTGCATATGTCAAAAAAAAAAGAAAGAAAGAATATTTGCAATCTAGTCATTACAGGGTTTCTTACCTGTCCTCTTAACCTTGACTTTTACTGTATCTTTATAATCAGGCTTTTAGCATACATCATTTCTGAACTCCTTTTTATACCTTCTTACTTTATATATAGTTTCGCTATTTCTAAAAAATAACTAATAAACATTTAAAGGACTTATTTAAGCTCTGTAAAGTCATTTCCCAAAGGTCTTTCATAATTTGTAAAGGATGTTTGTTGGCTGAGACAGTTTCTGGGCTCTTATGTCTTAGATCCCTAGTACTTCATGTAGGCCCTTAATAAAGTTTAGTTAATGTTGGCTTTTTTATTTTGGCAACTGCTTTACATCAAATTCTCTAATAAATAATGATAATCAGGATCAATGTCTATCCATGCCTCATTTTTCAGAGTCAATATTTTTTTCACAATAGCTTGCATGCAATATCTTCTTATCTTTATCCTTTTATTATGATTTGGTGTTAATTTTTACCTTTGATGTAGCTAGGCTATGGTTTGACTATATAAGAAGGCAGATTCAGAAATTACTCCCACATTAGTAACCAATTGTTTTCTGTCTGTTAAGATATAATCTATTTCAATTTTTTTCTGTTTGAGATTAACCATATCTGGTGCCTTCTATCTTCTTGAAGAAAGTGTTTATAATATATGAATGTGAGCCTTTTGCCTCTTTCATTTCTTAATCATGAACTTGAATTCTAATTCTTGCTAGAAGGGCTTGGATGTTAATCCCTTTTCTTTTCTTTATATTCTTATAATAAGCCTATTCTGTGTTTATTGCTTTGGAAGCTTGATGCTTGCAGGGTGCTGGAGGGTCATTCAAGGGATATGAGACAGATTCTGTTATTCTTAGAGGAGACTTCTGGGTGAGAATACAAACCAAGAGAGTCTTAGTAGACTGAACCTTCCAATATTGAATCCAGCCTAGTTAGGGACCCTAACTGACATAGGTTTCAAAAACCCACAGCAGATTAAAAGCAACAGACTGGAAATAGACAGGTACCCTGACAAGCACTGAGAATTCATGAATGATATCAAAGGAGAATATTTTAAAAAATAAACTAAAAGTAGGCCTAACATATACAAAAATTCTAAACCATGGAGTTTGGGGGCCCAATGAAGATTGTATATAGCATAGTGTAGTAACTAATATTCATAATGAAGTTTTTTTTATAAAGGTGTAAAGAAAACATTTTTGAAATATTTCCATCTAAAATCATTAAAAATAATTTTAGCACTTAAAAGGGTAAAACCTTGACCATCTTCTAAACAGCTACCCATACTTATTTCCTAAGGGTGCTAGATAGCTAAGATTTTATTCTGAATGGATATATGGGGGAATCATGCCTAGTCTTAAGGGTTATATTGAACAACTCATTGAATATGAGTTTATGTTATCTAATCTCAACTGGCTACTCACTATTAGTAAGTCAGTCCTTTTAATCTTCCCTGATTTTCTATCCTACTCTCAAGGGTAACTGTGCCAAAACTTTTCTTCTCCTTAAACCTTCCACACTGTCTCTTCCCTCCACATGTTTCATAGCTAAGAACCCTTACCTCATACTTTACCGATGAAATAGCAACTATTTGCTGTGACCTCTCTCTTCTCTCCTCTGTAGTTCCTAGCTCTTTGACCCCATTCTCTCCTCCTTTACTCTTTCTGACAAAGTGGGTTATTGTCTTACCAAGGCTGGCCCCACTACACATTCCTTTAATCCCCTGTTTTCTTCAGTAGATTGCCCCCTCATATCCTCTCTTTCCTTTTCTCTCTTTTTCCTCTCCTTTAATCTTCAACTCCTACCTACTGGTTCCTTCCTCCTTGCCTACAAACATGTTGAAGTCCCCCCATCTTCAAAATACCCTCACTAGACTCTATCATTCTGTTAAATGATCATCTTTCCTATTGAGTCAAACTTTTAGAAAAAGCCATTTTTTTACCTCTACTTCCTCTCCTTTTTTCTCTTCTTAAGCTTTTGCAACCTGAATTCCAACATCATCCCAAAATTGAAATGACTCTTTTTCAAAAAATAAATAAATAAGAAAAAAAAAGGAAGGAAGGGGGGCAGCTAGGTGGCTCAGTGGATAGAGCACGGACCCTGGAGTCAGGAGAACCTGAGTTCAAATCCGGCCTCAGACACATAACATTTACTAGCTCTGTGACCCTGGGCAAGTCACTTAACCCCATTGCCCTGCTAAAAAAAAACTTTTAAATTTTATGTAGTCAAAATTGAACATTTTAACTTGAATGAGCCCCTCTATTGCTTATGTAGTCATAAACTCTTCCCTTATCTATAGATCCCAAAGATAATTTCTTCCTTATACCTCTTATTTGTTTATGATGTGACCTTTTATATCTAAGTCATGTATTAATTTAGAACTCCTCCTGGTATATGGCATGAGGTGTTGGTCTAAACCTAAATTCTGCTAGACTGCTGTCCAGTTTTCCCAGTAGTTTTTATCAAATTACATTTCTTTTCCTATTACTGCTATCTGTGACTGGCTTTGAACTCACATTCTATTCATGGTGCCACCTAGCTGCTCCAGACTCTCATTTCCTCATTTTGGACCTTGTTTCTCTATTAATACAATATAAGATCATATTCTAAAGAGGCTTATCACCATTAGGCTGGTCATTAGGTGTTGAATTCTCTAACCGTGACAGCCCATGAAATAAAATACAAAATAGTCCTCCTGTAGTTTCTATAGTGAATGTGGCAGAGCACTAAAAAAAGAGCAAAGACAGTTCTAAGAATCATACCCTTTCCAAACAGTTTGTAAGTATTAATTTAACTAATGTAAGTCTTGGTATTCTAAGTATGGAATCATTGTTCAAAGCAAATAGGAATTCTAGTATAGGAACTGAACCATACTGATATTGACAATTCACTCCATAAATGAAACTAATGGCAATGCAGGCCCTTCCAAAGCACTCTTCCTTTTCTAAGTAGTCATAGTTCATCACTTTAATATGTTCAAGAATGTTGCTAGGGATTAAAGTAAATGTCATAAGTTTGTAGTTTGAGGATTCCACCTTTTTCCCTTTTTGGAGCATGGGGACATTTGCACTTCTCAGTTCTGTGGCACCTCTCCTGTTCTCCTAAGATTTTTCAGGAATCACTGACAGTGGCTCAGCGTTCTTTCGGTACCTATGGGTGTTAATTTATCCAAGCTTGGTGACTGGAACACACTGAAAGCAACTAAAGGCTTTTCTTTTATCCACATATGAAGTTTTTGTAGTCAGAATGGTACCCAGCTTTTTTTAGTCTGAAAGATAAATGAGGCCCCTGTGGACAGCAGGAAAGAATTTCACAGAATCTAAGAGGTATAAAGGACCTCAGTGGCCATCTAGTTCAATCCATACAATTTACCCATGAGAACTGCAATTTCTAACAAAGAGAAAATCAGCAATCTCCTTCCGTGAAAGTTTTTAAAAGTAAGATTCTAATGTGTTTTAGATGATTTAAGTGTAGTCCTGACTGAAAACAAAGGATATAGTTTAGAACATACAGCCCGAAGGCCACAAGCAGCCTGCAACAAGTGTAGTCCAAACCAAATTAAAACGTAATTTGAAATATTTGTCAAAATAAAAATACAATAAAAATTATATAATATTACATTTTAAAATTAAGTAAATACGTGGCCCACAGGGATCCTTATTATGGATTAGTGGCTCTTGTTTCTATTTGAGTTTGACACCACTGGTTTAGATGATCTCTTCAGGATCATTTCAACATCAGGATTTGGTGACTGGATGTCCTTAAACACTTTTTTTTTCTTTTCACAAGGTGGATGATATAGAAGCAGCTGTGACCGATTTAAAGCAAAAGAAGATCCGTATTCTGAGTGACAAGGCTAAAATAGGTGCCCATGGCAAACCAGTCATTTTTCTTCATCCTAAAGACTGTGGAGGAGTCCTTGTAGAACTCGAACAGGCTTAATCTAAAGTTGTGAAAAATTTATAATGAGAGAATCCCCTGTGAAATATTAACTTGTATGTGATCTTTGTTCAAATCCTGAGTTATGTCTTGATTTAAAAGTTCAAACATCAAATTGACAGAAGATTAAATGGATAAAATAACAAAAACATTATTTTATTTTTCCCTGATCTGTGAGGAAACATTGGTTATTCAAACCTTTAATACAGTTGTAAAAATCATTTTTATGGAAATAAAATATCCATATCTTTAAAATGGTGTGAATACTTCTTGAATAATGTGTGCCAGTTATACCACAGGATTGTGTGCTTAGACTAGAATGTGTGCTCTCTGTATGGAGAGATTATCTCCCAAAGCAGTGGGTGCATTGACACCTTGATGTAGATGTAGATGTAGATGGTTAAATGTTTAGGACTGTCCTGTTTAACAGTCAAACTGTTCTGCAGGCAATTTGGGGACAAGTTTTTCTTTTTTTCTTTATTTTTTTTGACAAGTTTTTCTTTTAAACTAAAGCTTTCTAGATTGTTTGGGACCAACTCATTTTCAGAGCAGACTACTTTGGGCCAAACTGTATTGGAACATTAGAACAAGAGAATGGAAGAATATGTGGAAGTTTGAAAAGGTAAGTAAACAGATGACTGGATCTGTGGCTGGGCAGCTCCATGAATAAGTCAGTTTGTTAATGATATATATTGAACATAGTACTGATTATTGGACTTCTGCAGGCATACAAAACAAATGGAAACTCCTCATTTGCAGAGATACATTCTAATTGAGGAAACATACATAAATATACTTTTGAAAAAGTGTATTGTGTAAGGGGGCAAATTGAGTAAATCAAATTATCTCATCCCACTTAAAGTTAGTGTCAAGATGCTATGTCCTGATATTTTAACCAAATAAGAATACTTCTTACTGAATTAATCAGTCATAGGCTTTAGACTAGGTGAGAAAAAAGTCTTTGACCAAATTTAGATATCTTTGAAAACCATTGGTTGAATTGGAATGATATTATACAGGAAGCGTGTTTAAATTGGTTGGGGAAACTTGGTCAAACCCTGAGGATAATCTTTAAAATAGTGATCCAGTTGGGAATTGAGGGTTGTTTTTTTGTTTGTTTGTTTGTTTTTTAGTATGTAGTAGTTTAGGGTGAGAGTCTTCCAGTCAAGCTCTAAGGAGTCACTTGGGAGAGAGAAGAGTGCCTGGGCCTTTATCTCCCCCTTCCCCACATGACTAGAAGAGAACCTTGTGGACTTCTGAAAGTGAGAAGATTAAGGCTTTTCATCAGCATCCCCAGAATACCAACAGTAGCAGCAGTGTCTGCAACAAGTGCCAAAGAAAATTTGCACATGACTTAAAAAAGCAGATTCAAGGCTCTACAAGGAATTCAGCAGGAAAACATCAATGCTAGAGTGACCATCTTGAAGACTCCAGCAAAAGGACATCCAGGACTTACCCTGGAAGATTCCCAAGATCGTCCAAGATCTCCAAGATCTCCAAGCTTGAACTCACTTTCCCCTGGACTTTATATATACAGTTAGGAAAAAGTAAAAAAATGATCACAGGCTTTTGGGGGGATATTTTGTATCATCTGTACCACAGAAGTAAATACTTGTTTCTAACAGCTAATAAAGTCTGATTAATCGATATCAACTGATAATCATGGAAAGAAGCACCTCCATATGGACTCATGACTTGGCACTCCCTCTAGAGCCCTAAGAGTATATGTAGTAGTTACTGTCTGGAGAACTTACCTATCATTGCCAGTGAGAGTTAGGAGAGCATCTCCAAAACATTCACTACAATTATAAATTAAAACATTGTCAATGAAAACAAAAACATAAATAAGACAAAGAAAAATTTTATTCAAAACTCCTAACCTTTAACAAGGAAAAAACAGATGAATTAATCAAGCAAATAGAGTGTTTTTGTTCTGTGTCTCCTTTCTGACTTACCTAAAGTTTTGCCGCCTTTGGCCCTGTTTTATATCTTTTTTCCTTTCTTTTCTGGTTGAATATACTTTTTCATGCCTCTAATTCATATTTTAATTTTGTATCTCTTAATATGTCTTTCATTTATGACAATGTAGTGGTTATTTTCTTCCTCTACATTTCCATGTCTGGTAAAGTCATTCTAATATCTGAACATGGTGTGAAGGTGACCCTGAGTCTTGTTTAATATACTTTTTAAAAGAGGGTCAGCTTGGTGCAGTGGGTATAGTGCAAGGCTTGATGTTAGGAAGACCAAAGTTCAAATGTATCTCAAATGAATTTACTAGCTATATAAAACCATGGGTAAGTCACTCTGTCTCTGTGAGTCTCTGGCAACTCATTAAGGCTTATCCACTAAGTTACAGGTGAGCTGCCATTTGTTTGGATGGAAAGAATTCTCATACCAAAGATGCTGCAAAAAAATCCTTCACTTTTTGACATTTTGAAAGTAACATCCACAACTGGGAAATAGAGTTTTTGCCAAAAATTTCAAATGGAATATTCAGTGGAAATATAGATAGGTGAAGGGTATTATTTTTTTTTTAATTCAAAGCAAAGGCATTTATTGAGATGGAACATTTTTTAAAGAAGGACCAACAAAAGATTTCATCTACAAGTTTGGGGCACACTGTCCCACAAATGCAGCTTCAGCAGGAAGAATGAAAGAAGAGAATATTTGAAGGGACAGACATGCAAGGAACATGTGTGACCAGCACACACATCTGGAGGGGCAACTTAAGGTCTCTGATGCTGCAAGGCCACTGATACCTTTTTAGTGATATTGTACTGTTCACACTGGACCTGCTCCCTGGATGATAGGTACTATATTTTATCCCAGGAATTTTCGCTTTTTAGTAGAATGTAGGAAATTCAGAGCCACTCTCCCAGAGGAGTTTAATTAATTTAGTCTGGAGGCAGTTCTTAGTAATTGATTGGTTTGTACACCATAGCTCCTGATCTTATGGGGAGGGAAGGGAAAATTTATCAGGACGTCCCTGATCAACTGATTTCTCCCCAATTCCACTAATAAACTCCTAGAAGATAAAAGTCAAGGAACAAAGGCCTTAAAATCTTAAAATGTAAAGAAAAGTTAATACTTTGTTTCTCTTTGAAAGTGTAAAGAATTTCTCTAATCAAAGCTGATGTGATTAGTGGGAAGCCAGCTATTGGCTAGCCAAGCATTGGCTGCATCCTTAATGGTCCTTTCAAAAGTGAAATACAGTCTAAGGATGCAGGTAATGTAGGAGGCAACTCTTAAAAGGTGATTTCTGGAAGCAGAGAAGAAAATCAGCTATGGAAGAACATCTTTCTCAAGAGGGAATTATTCCTCACTTCTAGGAGAAGGGAATTTTTCTCTCTTCTTGTCATGGCATCTTGCAACAGAGCTCCTTACCTATTAGGAGATACTAATATCTGCAATCAGCAGAGAGCAAACCCAGTGTTGAGGCAGTAAATAGCATTAAAAAGTGTTAGCTCTGTGAATTGAAAAGGAAGACCATCAGTGGTTGAGCTGCTGAGAGTAACATGCCAAGGGAGCTTGGCTGAACCCTCTACCTAGGAAAAGCACTTTGTAACTGCATGAGGATACTACAAGAAAGGGTCCTGCATTGCTAGAAGTGTGAATTGCCTGGGCTAGGTATATTCCTTATATGTGTATCTCTCTACTGTTATACTCCATGTATGTGCCCACACTTCCCAGTGTTGCTATTTAGTTGTAGGAAAGTGTGCCCCAGGTACATGAGGCAGAATATTTTATTACTGTAATTATTACAATGTCATCTCAGTAATTGCCTTTGCTTTGGGCTGTGTATATGGGAAAGGGTAAGCACACCTGTGGGGGCTCATGAGATAATAAGTCTGCAGACCAGGTTGGGGTAGTCCACTTCACTGGAAACTCAGCCTCTGAATATGTATTGGGGAGTAGCCCCAAAGAGGGTACTTCATACAACTTAGTCTGCTTATAATGCATGGAGTGGTATCTATAAGTGAAAGACAGTGACACTGTCCTAACATAGATCTTATTTGACTTATCTTTATGCTGAAAAAGAGAGACCAAAAAGGATCAAGAGCGATTTCAGACTCAAGATGAATTAGAAGGTAGTACGAGACCACCTGAGGCAGATAGGTGGCATTGTGGATGGAGTACCAGGCTTGCTGATTTCAAATCTGGCTTCAGATACTAACTGTGTGACCCTGGGCAGGTCACTTAGCCCTGTTTGCCTCAGTTTCCTCATCTGTAAAATAAGCTGGAGAAGGGCTGGAAAAGGAAATGGCAAACCACTCTAGTATCTTTGCCAAGAAAACCCCAAATGGGGTCACAAAGAGTTGGACATGAATGAACAACAACAAGAGAGCATCTAGCTACCCTAAATGTGTCCAGATTGCTTAGTTGAGAGTCTGAAGATATGATTGCTTAAGTGCCATCCATGATCTTTCAGTAATCAAGGGGAGTGAGGAAATGGTACGGGATTAGAAATGAGCAAGTTCCAATTAAAAAAAAAAAAGATGAAGAAGGTAGAACCTTAAAAACTGTAGGCTATTGCTGTTTCAGATCTTAAATTGTATTATAAAGCGGTAATCATCAAAACTACTTGGTACTGGCTAAGAAATAGAGTGGTGGAATAGGTTAGGTATGCAAGACACAGTAGTCAATGACTATAGTAATCTACTGTTTGATAAACTCAAAGACCCGGCTTCTGGGATAAGAATTCACTATTTGACGCAAACTGCTGGGAAAACTGGAAAAGAGTATGGCAGAAACTAGGCATAGACCAAAATCTCACACCATATACCAAAATAAAGTCAAAATGGGTTCATGATTTAGATATAAAGGTTGATACTACAAGCAAACTGGGAGAGCAAGGAATAGTTTACCTGTCAGATTTATGGAGAACAGAAGAATTCATGACCAAATAGGAAATAGAGAACATTATGAAATGCAAAATGGATAATTTTGATTACATTGAATTGAAAAGTTTTTGCACAAACAAAGCCAATGCAACCAAGGTTAGGAGGGAAGCAGAAAACTGGGAAAGAATTTTTACAACCAGTATCTCTGATAAGGGCCTCATTTCTAAAATATATAGAGAATTAAGTCAAATTTGTAAGAATACAAGTCATTACCCAATTGATAAATTGTCAAAGGATATGAACAGGCAGTTCTCAGATGAAGAAATTAAAGCCATGTATAGTCATATGAAAAAATACTCTAAACCACAATTGATTAGAGAAATGAAAATCAAAACAACTCTGCATCACACCTATCAGATTGGCCAACATGATAAAACAGGAAAATGATACATGTTGGAGAAGATGTGGGAAAATTGGAACTCTCATGCATTGTGGGTGGAGTTGTGAAATGATCCAACCATTTTGGAGAGCAATTTGGAACTATGAACAAAGGGCTATAAAAGTGTGCATACCCTTTGACCCAGCAATAGCATTTCTAGGGCTATATCCCAAAGAGATGATACAAATGGGAAAAGGACCCACATGTACAAAAATATTCATAGCAGCTCTTTTTGTGGTGGCAAAGAATTGGAAATTGAGGGGATACCCATCAATTGGGGAATGGCTGAGCAAGTTGTGGTATATGACCGTAATGGAATACTATTGTGCTATAAGAAATGATGAGCAGGCAGACTTCAGAAATACCTGGAAAGACTTATATGGATTGATCCTGAGTGAACTGAGCAGAACCAGGAGAGTGTGGTACACAGTAACTGTCACGCTGTGCAGACTTAGCTCTTCTCAGCAATACAAGGAAGTAAAGCATCTCCAAAAGTCTCAAGATGGAAAATGCTATCCACATCCAAGGAAAGAACTATGGAGTTTGAATGCAGATCGAAGCATATTATTTGCTCTTGTTTTTTCTTCTGTTTTGTTTTGTTTCCTCCTATTGGCTCTAATTCTTCCTTACAATATGACTAATGTGAAAATATGTTTAATAGGAATGTATATGTAGAGCCTATATCAAATTGCACACCGTCTTGGGGAGGGAGAGGCTAATTAACATGTCTAAAAGCTTATGGAAGTGATTGTTGATAAATCAAAATAAATTAATTTTTAAAAAAATGTAGGCCAGGGGAGTTTGATGTCAACTTATGACAAAATGCTGAAATAGATTATTAAATGGTTTGTAAAGTCCTTAATAGAAGAAACAACAATCATTTTGAACCAGCAAAAGTTCACTAAGAAGAAATCATTCTAAACAATCCACATTTAATTTTTGGCATGATTACTATATCCTTATAGGAAGAGAAAATTAGCTTGGATCACATTTGGGAAACTGCAAAGTGCTTTCAGAGATCCCACACTATTGCATTTTACAAAAGCACTCATGTTCTTATAATGCTACATGTTTAAAATCATGGACCAAAATTGAGGAAGAATAAAAAATGCGAATGACCAAAAGGCGATGGAAAGATGTGGTGCTTATAAGCAAACTGTAGCATGTTACCAATGATGACTTATACTCAGTCAAGGACTTATATTGGTGGGAAAGGAGATAAGCCACGTCTGTAGTAAAAATTGAAGACTAAAGGTGGACAGTTTGATAATACACCAGAAACCTCTGGGATATTTTTTTAAATGCAAGAAAGGCACTTGGTAAATATCCATAGATAATTTATGGAAAGATATGGGCAAGATCCAAATAGAATAAGATCTATACTGGTAGAGTAGGAAGCACCAACACTGAAGAAATGAGATGCATCAAAATACCACATACTATACAATGTGGTATACCATAACATTGTCCTTACAAATAATATACACTGCCTTTTCACTACATAGAGGAAAGAAAACTAAGCTTAGGCCCAGACCGACCTGGATTGGACTCCTAGTTTCAACACTAACTGTGGCCACGAGCAAATTACTTAACCTTTCTGAGTGCCAGTTTCTTTATATGTAAAAAGAGGATACTAATACTTCCACTACGTATCTCAAAGGATTATTTCACGAGAAAACCACATTGTAAGGTTTAAAGTGTTATTTAAATGTGAACTGCTAGGACAACTGTCAGAAAACCAGCTAGGTAAGAGGATTTGGAGGTGTAGATATTGTCTAGTTCAACACTCTTATTTTATAGATGAAGGTCAAGGCTCACAGAGGCTAATTAACATGTCCAAGGTAATATAGGTGATGAGAGGCTGAGCTCACCCTTTGACTCCAAATCCAATATTCTTTCCGCTAGCATATTCAGATTTCAGCAAGTATTTTTTACACTTACTCATGATATTTTGACTAAATAGAGACATACAAGCTAGATTATATAACAGTTAAGTGAATTTGGAACTGGTTTATTGGTTGA